GACAGAAGGAGGCTGGGCATACCCTCTGCCTGCAGGGCCTCCCTTGCTGCCTCCTCCCACGCTGGCATGCACACACCCCCATCCCTGACATGCTTCTGGCATGTGTCTCCTTCTCTGCCCTTGGCCCTGCTTGCAGCCCCCCACCCCCCCTGCGCCCCACTTTGCTGGTGACCCAGCGTGGCCGTGTCCCAGAAACCGCAGAATCACCACGGGAGCTACTGGCCCACTTTGTCAGGCCACAGAAAATGCAGCTAAAATTAGCTAAGGACAGACAGGTGGACAAACTGACAGGCATCCTGCCCTCCTGCCATCCTGGCCCCAGCCTGGCCCCTCACCCAGGGCAGTGGGGGTGGGCGGGGGTTGGGGAGAAGCTGAGGCTGAGATGTAGTAAGGGGGAGATGGAGGCGTGGTGAGCCTGGAGCGGGTGGAGCCGGTGACTTCACTTAAGTGTGGCTGACAACGCGTGGCAGAGTAGTGCTAGGGAATTGGTTGTCCCAGGGGAGCAAGGGGCACTGAGATGGGGTGTCACGGGCAGAGCATCTGGCATCGGGGTGTCCCCAAGGGAACCACAAGAAGTGGCCTTTGGAGGTTGGGGCATCTGGAGAAGGTGTGCTGGTGGGTGGGGAGGTTGGCGGGGGAGCACTGTCCTGGTGACAGTGGTGTGGTGCCCCGGTAGATATGGGTGGCTGTAGATGACCTGTAGCTCTTTTCTAGGACTGCAGGGTGGGTAGGCTGGCTTTGCTGGGTACTAGGGGCTCCACTCTGAGGACTGGGGTGTTAGGAGGGAGGTTAAGAAGTGAGAGGGGGGTCTGGGGGACTGAGGTGGGGGGTCATTTCTGGATCCTTGCTATTCTCCCATGAGGTGGCCTTATGAGGGTGGGCCCCTTCCAAATGGGATCCGCCTCCCTCCTGTTCTCCCCCAACTCCCACCCCAGCACCGGAAACCAGAATGTCTGGTCTGGTCCCTCCCCCCCACACCAGGCCCGGTTCCTGCACCGTTGCCATGGAGATGGGAAGCAGTGGAGGGTACTGCTGACTTTGGGGGAGTGGGGATGGGCTGGGGGGTTGGGGACGGAAAGACGAAATGTGTGGGGGGGAAGGAGAGTTCCAGGAGCTGTAGGCGAGCGAGCCTCTAACCCAGGGCCGGCGGACCCCTCCCCCACGCGCGGCAGAGCTGCGAAGCCCCTCCCCCTCCAGGTACCCAGCCGCGCCGCCCCACCTCGTCCCTGCGGAGACCCTGGCCTCCTCCTCCTCACCCCGCCGCACAGTCCACCTTGCGATCTGGGGCCCGCAGCCACTCCCCCTCGGCTGACCCTGGCTGACCCCCAGCCTCAACCCCGCTGGGAGGGGGTGGCCAGTGGGAGGAAAGAAAAGCTGGCCGGGGCCCCCAGCGCGCAAGGCTGCCCCAGCCCCCGGGCCGGCTCCGGCCCCTCCCCCTCAGGGCTCGCGGGAGGGAGCGGGCACGCTCCGCCGGGGCGGCATGAATCAAACGCTCCGCGGCTAAGAATAGCTGGCACGCAGCTGGTACCAAGACGGGCTGAGGAATCGGCGAGGGGGGGGGCGGAGGACTGGAGAGAGGGGGTGCCCTGGGAGGCTGCGGGGGAGCAGGGGGCGGCTGGCGTGGCCGAGAGCGGGGCCCGGGAGAATGAATGGAGGCGGAGGGAGGAGGGGAGGGGCGGGGAGAGAGAGCCCCGGCCGAAGCTGGGAAACTGGTGGGGGAGATCCCGGGCCGGGGAGAGGGGCGGGGAGCGCCGGGGAGCAGGAGTCGGGGGCGGGAGTCGAGGGGGCGCGCCGGCTGGCGGTGTAGGGACTGGAGACCAGGAGGGACGCGGGGAGCTGGGGCAGGAGGTGGGAAGGGAAGGGAGGAGCCTGGAAGGAGAAGCGGGAGCTGGAGGGGTCGAAGGGGGCGGAGGAGGCCAGGGCCTAGACCCTCCCTGGAGGAGCAGGGGGACCAGGGTGACCTGGCGAAGGGGCCCAGGTGCGCCAGGATGAGGCGGGGGAGTGGCCGGGCTGGGCGGGGAGGCGGGTACCGGGACTGAGCCCTTGGCCCCTGAGAGCCGGAAGGCGGGTTCGGGATAGGGGCTCTGCTGGCGGGGGATGGGGGGCGCGCCTGCCATCAAGGATGTGATCTGGGACGGGGCACCGGGGACGGGGCGTAACCCAATTTGGCGTCGCCCAGGGCAACGCTCCCCACCTCACCCGCACCCCCAGCCGCACACCCAGGCCCGGAGCCCGGCGCCAGGCCAAGGACATCCCGGGCGCCCCCGCCCCTTTCCGCGGTCCCGGCCCCGTAGCTCCCCCAACCCCCAGGTTCTCGACCCCCTTACCTGCCTGGCGGGGCTGCTGAGTCCCGGTCGGCGGCGCCCGCGGCCCCTCCCCCCTCCCCCCACCCCCCACCCCCCCGGAGACGGGGGACCCTCAGGCCATGCCCCACCGCCCCGGAGGGCGAGCGGGCCCGGGGAGGGGGCGGGCGGGGGCCGGGGGGGAGGGCGGGAGGGCCGAGGACCTCACCCCCCCCGCGGGCCGGGCCTGGCCATCCGCAGAGCGCCCCCCCCTTCCGCCGCGGCCGCCGCGCCCCTCCTCGCCCGCCCCCGGCTCGGTCCGGCCGGCTCCGGGCGCCGCGTCTCCGCCTGCTCTTCCTCCTCCTCTTCCTAGGGCCGCCGCCGCCGCCGCCACCCGCTCCGCGCCTCCTCTGCCACCCTTCTCGCTCTCTCGCTCTCGCTGTCTCTCCCTCACCCTGTTTCTCTCTCCCTCCCTCTCTCCCTCCCTCCCCTCCCTCCGCCCTCTCCCCTCCCTCCGGGAGTCGGCGGAGGAGACATCGCCCCTCCCCGCGCCCCCAAACCTCGCCCATCCCCCTCACCAACGCCGGCTCCGCCCCCTACCCTTGCCCTCCCCCACCACTCCTCTCCACCTCCGAGTCCCCAAATCCTGACTCCACCCCTGCTTGCTCCCATACCCCAAAGAAGGGGTCCTGCTCCCTTAAGGGTGCCACACACACACACCTCAGGATTGCCCCCTCCCAGAGAGCTCTTGGCCCCCCTACACACAGTGGGGCACAATAAATATTTGTTGCCAGACTCTATACCCCCAAATTGAAGTGTGAAGGTTATAGATTCCTACCCTATTCCACCCGCCCCCCACCACACACACACCCTTTCCTTTCCATCTAAGCACTGGGGCTGGGCACACGTGGACATACCTGGGCCAGACCACATTCCCCCAAGGCACAGGTGCATAGTCACCAGCTGAACAGCACCTGCAGACATCCGCACATGCACGCGCTCTCCAGCGCATACAAGCCCAGACACAGTGCACCTGGGGTACAAGGCTGCAAACACACCCAGCTACATGCAGTTGTGTGTCACACCCCTGTGCCTGGGCACACACACAGCACATAAGCACATGCACACATTTGCCCACCACACACACGCACACACACACGCACGCACGCAGGCGTTCACCCGGGTATGCATGCCCAGATCTCTCAACACCAAAACGGAGTTACAGCACTGTAGAGACGTGCGCACGCCTTCCCATCACACCCACCCACTGTGCCGTCCATTGCACTGGTTCGCACTCACCCGCTTACATGCCTAACACCGTGCCATCCTTCCCCTCCAGGATAGTTACTGCTGACATTCCTGGAGCATTTTCTGTGTGCCAGGCTCAGAGACTTTCACCATCCCATTTTCCAGAGGGGGAAGCAAGGCACAGAGAGGCTAAATAACTTGCCCAAGGTCATCCAGCTATAAGGAGGTGGTAACAGGATCAGGAACGGGTAGGTTGGCTCCAAAGTCCTCATTCAATTGCTATTGTGCACTGTTGGACATATCCCCTCACAGTTGCATATCCTTGATCCTCACACACAGACACACCCAGCCATCTCTTCAGAGCTTGCACGCGTGTGTGTAGGCACGCATATGCAGCCAGCTGTGTGCAGACAGCTAATTCATGCCTGGGACGCACCCACAAAGGCAGATCCCACAGGGCAGCAGTGAGTGGTGAGTGGCTTCTTAGCCCAGGCTTCCCCATTCTCCAGCTCCAACAGCACCTCCAGAGCCTGCAAGAGGCAGTTCTAAGCAGCCTCTGGGTTCCCCTCCAGCTGCAGGCTCTCTGGGGTACCCCAGTATGAGATGGAGGAGGTGCCTGCCCAGCCTGGGGAGGCCTCTATCTTGATGCACGCCTACTAGCCCAGGTGGTGAGCAGCTGAGCCCAGGGAGAGAACAGCTGCCTGTGTTGGCTCCAGCAGCCAGATAGGCTGTGCACCCCTGCACTGTTTACAAGGCCTTTCCCCACATATGCATTATTTCCTGAGCTCTGTAGCTCCTGGTGAGGGGCCCAGGTCCCCGGTGGGCACCTGAGAGGCCCAGGCTCTGAGGTAGGGAGCAGCCTGCCCAAGGTCACAGTGTCCTCGATGCACCAGGCTTTCTTGGAAAACGGAAGGCTGGAGTCATTGTTTTCCAAGGCCCCTCCTGGGGCTCCCGGCAGCCGAGGGCAGATGCCCTGCTCTTGGAACCAGAAACCTTGGCTAGCTGCCGCCACACTGGTGACCTCCAGCAGGCCATGCTGCTTCAGAGCCTCGGTCTCCTCCTTTGAAGAGCAGGCCAGTGATCCCTGGCTGCTGTGCTCCATGTTTGTTGGCACCACCAGCCAGGCCTGTGCTGGAAAAGCCCTGCGTGACTCATGGGCCTGGCATAGAGGGGCATGGCATGGTGCCGTGCCTCCTCACCTCCAAGCCCCTCTCCCATTGCCCTCATCACCTCCACCCACGCTGCCACCACCACCCTGGGAACTTGGGTGCCACCAAACCAAAAAGGTGAAGCCTCCAGGCCTTTGACCCCACCAGGAACAGCTACACACTCACACACTCAACAGGTTGATTGAGCACCTACTATGTGCTCTGTAGGCCTTGTGCTAGGGAATCCAGCTGTGCATAAAAACCCCTGCCTTCTTTGGCAGGGGACAGATGTAAACAAACAAACAGATCGTGCCAGTCTTGATTATACCAAAAAGATGAAATGGGGCATTTTAATAAAGTAAATTGTGGGACAGATAAGGTGGTTGGGGAAGGCTTCTTGTAGCTGAGATCTCGATGATGAGAAGGAGCTGGGGAAAGAATCTTCCAGAAGGAGGAAAGGGCTAGCGCAGAGGCTCTGAGGTTGTAATGAGCTTAGTATTTGGGTAGGAGCCAAGAGGCCAGGGAAGCTGGAACCTGGGGGTGGGCGAGGGGAGTGTGGGTGATGAGGCTGCAGAGGTGCAGAAGGTTCTTCCTTCCCAGCCCCCAGCATGGCAGGCTGTGCTGAGGACTGAGGCCCGGGCTTGGCTTCCCTCCTGCTTATGATGGGAAGGTGGGGGAGCAGGGGAGTGGGGAGTGATGTGATCTGATTTATGGTTTGGAAGGATTGCTTTGGCTGCGGCAAGCAGCCGGGATTGGAGGGGCTCAGGAGGAAGAAGGGGGAGGGCAGGGAGACTGCAGTGGTCCAGGCTGGGATGAGGTGGCTCTCGGAATGCTCCGGGCTCCTTGAGCACACAACCCAGCATCTGTCGATTTCACCTCCCGGAGCAACCTTCCCTGACTGCTCCTCCAGACTCCCTGCCCCCTCCCACCTCCAGCCCCCTCACCCTGGGAACTATCTGGCTGCTGGCCTGTGAGCAGCTGGAGCCCCCAGCATCACCCAGCCCAGGGCCCAGCCTGCAGGAGGCTTCTAGTAAAGTGGTCACTTAATCTCCAAGCCCCATCTTCCAGGGCTGTGCACACAGTCACATGCATGCTTTTCACATGTGTCACCCCGACCCCACACACACTCACTTACATCTCCAGACAAGGGCTTCGAGGGTGGGATGGGCAATCTAGGGGCCAGGAGAGGCCCTGGAGCCTCCTCCATCGGCTGTGTGAGCAATGGTGGCTCCAGGGTAATAACAACCTCAGTGAGACCCTGAGGTCTGCTCCCTCTTCAGGAATGACCAGGCAGAGGAGCAGGGAGCAGTGCTCGGTCCCAGCATCCCACCACTGCCCAGTTGGTTCTAAGCGGTTTCCTGGGCTGAGGCCGGGGCCTGGGTTCTCCAAGATTCCTTGAAAAGTCAGCTCCGTCCTCTTCCTGATTATCTGAGCTTTGGGCCACGGCAGAAGGAAGGAGCAGGGCGGAAGCGAGCTCTGGAAAGTGGAAAGAGGGGTGTGTGTGAGGAGACCCAAGGCGGGATCCAGGCTTTGGAACGTTGGAGGTTTCCGGCCACAGAGGCAGGGCCTCGAGGGAGCCAAGAGGGGCGGGGAGAGACACACACAGAGGAGCAGAAGAGACCAACGGACAGACAGAGACGAGGAGAGGAACAGGAAGAAAGAAGCTGGGAGAGTTGGGAACCTGGGGGCTAGTGATCTGCACACAGGGCAGCAGTTCTCAGAGACCCCCACCCCCACCCCAGACATCCAGACATCTGGAACCTTGGGTGCCAAGAGTGCAGCCTAATGCAGGCAGCCTGGCTTTTGGGGGCTTTGGTGGTCCCCCAGCTCTTGAGCTTTGGCCATGGGGCTCGGGGAGCCGAGAGGGAGTGGGAGGGAGTCTGGGGAGGTGCCCAGGAGGAGGAGCGGGAGAGGGAGGCCCTGATGCTGAAGGTGAGCTCTGTAGTGTCAGGGAGCTATGGGTGGCAAACTGTGGGCTTGGGAGGGCGTTATTGCAAGGTTAGGGAAATGGACAAGGAGGAGCGATCGGGATAGTCTCAGAGGAGGGGGTGATGGGCTCAGAGACAGGACTCAGGAGGCAGAGAATGAGTTAAGAGTTGGAAAAGGGTGTGTGGGGCATCTTGGTGGCAGGCTGGGGCTCACCACTCCTCCCCTGCCCCAGCATCTGCAGGAGGCCCTGGGACTGCCTGCTGGGAGGGGGGATGAGAATCCTCCCGGAACTGTTGAGGGCAAAGAGGACTGGGAGATGGAGGAGGACCAGGGAGAGGAAGAGGAGGAAGCAACGCCAACCCTATCCTCCAGTCCTAGCCCCTCTCCCACCCCTGAGGACACCGTCACTTACATCCGTGAGTAACCAGAAGCCCCTACCCCCAAACACCCAGGCCTCCGCTATCACTTCCGCAAAAATGAAAGGTCGGTTCACTGCCCGGTGGCCTTTCAGCTGTCCATTGCCCAGCCCAGAGCCCCCACACCCCTAGAAGCCCCAGGTCCACGGCCATGCCTCCTAAGAGCCTGGGCCACTCGATCCTACCTTCCAGGAATCCCGTCCCACTCCACCCCCGCCCCTCCCTCAGGAGCCCTAGGTGCCAGTTCTCCAGGTCCTCAGGCTCCCTGCTGCATCCCCAGGCTCCCCCTCCAGCACGATCCCTGTGTGTCCGCAGTGGGCCGCCTGGCCGGCCTGGACGCAGGCCTGCACCAGCTGCACGTCCGTCTGCACGCGTTGGACACCCGCGTGGTCGAGCTGACCCAGGGGCTGCGGCAGCTGCGGAACGCGGCGGGCGACACCCGCGATGCCCTGCAAGCCCTGCAGGAGGCGCAGGGTCGCGCCGAGCGCGAGCACGGCCGCTTGGAGGGTGAGTCCGCGGCGCGCGGGGTGGAAAAACATAAGACTATCTGGGCCAGGTATGCGACTGGTGGGAAAGTGGTCCTTGGTGCCCGCGGCAGGAGAGTGGGTTCAGGAGAACTGGGGTGTGCTGGGGGACAGGGAGGTTAGAGAGCTGGGAGGCTGAATGCGGGGAGCAGAGCTGGCACCCCGGAGCCGCGCGGACCTGACTGGGGCAGCGCCACGCCCCCTACAGTCCCGCCCCCACCGTCTGGCCCCGCCCCTGGCGGACCGGACTCTCCGCCTCTGGGCTTCCGCGGTTCTGGGCACGCCTCCTCCCATCCCACCCCACGAGGTCCTGACCCCGCCTCCCACCACCCCCGGTGCTTTGGCCCCGCCCCCTTCCCGCTTCCAAATGCATGACCCCGCCTCCTTCTCGACCCGGCGGGTCCACAGGCTGCCTGAAGGGGCTGCGCTTGGGCCACAAGTGCTTCCTACTCTCGCGCGACTTCGAAGCGCAGGCGGCGGCGCAGGCGCGGTGCACGGCGCGGGGAGGGAGCCTGGCGCAACCCGCGGACCGCCAGCAGATGGAGGCGCTCACCCGCTACCTGCGCGCGGCGCTCGCCCCCTACAACTGGCCCGTATGGCTGGGCGTGCACGATCGGCGCGCCGAGGGCCTCTACCTCTTCGAAAACGGGCAGCGCGTGTCCTTCTTCGCATGGCACCGCGCACCCCGCCCCGAGCCCGGCGCCCGGCCCAGCGCCACGCCGCACCCGCTCAGCCCGGACCAGCCCAACGGCGGCACGCTGGAGAACTGCGTAGCGCAGGCCTCTGACGACGGCTCCTGGTGGGACCACGACTGCCAGCGGCGCCTCTACTACGTCTGCGAGTTCCCCTTCTAGCGGGTCTGGTTACCTGCCTCTCCGCCCATCCCACCACCAGGCCTTCGCCTGTGCGGTGCCCACCCTCCTCCGAGATCGCCCTTCACTCCCTGTCCACGGATGGCAGTGTCCCCCCACCCCCTGTCCCCCGGGCTGGGCCCTCCTGGGAGGGCTCTTGCGGTGCTGGGACCCCTCCGTGTCAGTGCCTTTCCTTGAAGGGGCTGGCAGCAGGCTAGGTCCGGTGCCAATAAATCCTTGTGGAATCTGACTTGAGGGGCAGTGAAGGCACTCTTGGACTTTTATCTCCTGCAGGGGAAGACGGGAAGGGCCAGACCCTGGTCTTTGGGCGCCTGTCCTGGCCTTTGGATGCCTGCTTTTCACAGATGTCATTTAAGATGTCAGAGTGAGGGAGAAACACAGGTGCATATGTACACACGGTCATCTGCTCCTTTGCACAGATGCCCGGAGTGCATGCGTGTAAACGCTGTAGACACCTTGGCCTCCATCGTGCCCTCTCTCTTGGCCTTTGGGACACAGGGCCTGCCAACCGTCCCAGGCTGTGGCTTTGGTCCTTTTCAAAGAGATTTGGGAAACATGAAGGAGCTAAAGGCTCTGACAAGTCCTGCAGGAAAGAGCCCCTTTAATTTGTTTAAGTGGTGTGCCGCCAGTTTGTTTCCCCTGATATCATTTCACGGACTTGTTGAGATGATATATTGAAACATGGACTTAAGGACCCACCCAACTCTGAAGCTTAGACTTCTAATTTTTCCTCACTGGCAGGAGCCCAGCTCTTCCCCTCTGTGAGCCTCAGTTTCCTCATCTGAACATGGACACAATCCCTCCTACTTTGTATGGCTCTTGGGATGTTCAGGTGGGGCCAGGACAGTGAACTTGAGCCACACACGCTGCCTTCCTTCCTTTTTTTTTTTTTTTTTTTTTTTGAGACAGGGTCTTGCTCTGTCAGCCAAGCTGGAGTGCAGTGGTACAATCATGACTCACTGCAGCCTCAACCTCCTGGGCTCAAGCAGTCCTCCCACCTTAGCCCACCAAGTAGCTGGGACTACAGGTGCATTCCACCACACCTGGCTAATTTTTGTATTGTTTGTAGAGGGCGGGTTTTGCCATGTTCCCCAGGCCGGCCTTGAACTCCTGAGCTCAAGCAATCTGCCCATCTGGGCCTCCCAAAGTACTGGGAATACAGGTGTGAGCCACCTTGCCCGGCCCTCCCTCACCATTTTTCATATCTTTACTCCTTGGGGGCAGTGAAGACACTCAGGAATCAGCCAGCCTGGGCCTCAGCATAGTGGACAGCTCTGTTTGGAGAAGAGGGTCTTTAGAAATCACCCTAGTACCTCCCCCAATATTGGCATCGTGGGCATGACTCTGACATCAGGGAGCCCCGGAATGGGGATGTGACCCTGTCTGTCCTTACCACTGTCTCCTCCTTCAGCCATGGCACCACTGCCTAAAGAGACACCATTGGATCCACATATGGGAAGAGCAAGCCATCACTGTCAGCTTGGATAGAGGGGAGATCACCCACCCTTCTCCCTTCAGGTGTTATTTCTCAGTCCTACAGCCCCAGAGGAATACAGAATAGGAGAGTGGGGGTGTGGCCTGGAGTCAGCCTTCAATCAGAAATTCTCCCCACTCTGAACTTCAGTTTCCCTGGGGAGGGACAGACAACCTGACATCTTAAAGCCAACCAGAGGTCAGATTAGGCAGACAACGATGAGTACCTATTATTTCCCAGAGAGGTCCCCGCCCTTGCAGAGCTTCCATTCTGGAAAGTATGTGGGCGTGGTGCACCATGGTTACCTGCCCGGATTCTGGAGCCAGATGGCCCAGGTTCCAATCCTATCTCAGCCACTTATCTCCTGGGAAAACCTGAGTGAGACATAACCTTGCTGCTTCTCAATGTCCCCATCTGTACTGTGGAGATAAAAACAATATTGATCTAGAATAGTACCAGATAAAGAGGAGTCTGCAATTCCCAATCTGATCTTCCTCAGGGCAAGTCAACCTCACTTCACCTCTGTGTGCTCTTTCCTGACACTGTGCTCTTGTATATGCAAAGATTTCCATCCTCCTTTCTCTGCAGGGTAAACACCCACTGCCAAGAATTGGATAACACATCATCCCAAACAACCAGACTTTCCCCCCACTCTACGCGGGGTTAAGGACCCCCTTTGGTATCCACAAACCTCTTGTTCCTCTCTTGACCCAGCCCTGACCAGCCAGGCTGAGGGACGCTCCAAGTGTGTGTGTGGAGGGGGGAAGGACAGGACATGACTATCTCCGTGTCCTCAGCATCGCCTGGCACATGAGAGCCCTTTGAATGAAGGTGCTTGTGTGGCGTCATGCTGGGGACCCTGAGATGAGTCGGATCTCTGCTGCTTTTCCTCCCTGGCCTTCTCCAGGCTGGGTGAGGCACCTCCTCTAGTTTTCCATAGGGTCCGGGGCTTTCCACATCACTTTAGGTGCCACCGTCTGGTCTGACAATGTCTGTCTCTCTGGCAGTGCCTGGAGCTACCATACCAAGCACAGGGACAGCTATGGGCATGCAGAGAGAGAGGTCCGAGGTGGGGAGTGGCATACCTGCAAGGACTGTTTATACATCGGAACAGCAGCCTATAAGTGGCATTCGGTGCTGATTCCTGACTAATCGGCGTGGGAAACCTACCCTCTCCTCCAGGAAGCCCCACCAGACTTCCCACGGGCCAGAGTTTGCCAATGTCCTCTCTCTGAATTTCTGCAGAGCACCTGTAGCTTGCAAGGCCAGAGTCATGGACTAGGGGAGGCCTCGGCAGCTGATTGGGATGGATCCATTAAGGGATCCCAGGGAAGTAGTAGAGGAAGGGCAGGAGGCCTGGGATGATTCAGCAAAGGAGGAAGAACCAGAGGCCACAAGGGCTTGCAGGACGACAAAACCCAGGAGGCCAAGCAGCACGCCCGTTACCGCCTTCCCAGAACCACGTTTTTCTGCAGTAACTGGGTGACTCCAACGGGTCACCTCGCAAGCCCCGCCCCCGCCTCCCACGTGGGGTTCCCCTCCATTTCCCAGCAAGCCTGAGGGCCACGCCTTAGCAGTGAAGTTGGAGCTCCGCAGCCCCCAATCAGAGCTCAGACCCCTCCTCTCCTCCCAGGCCTCGCCCCGCGGTACTTTGGGAAATGTAGTCCGGTCACGCGCCCAAAGGTAGGAAAACCCCAAGCAGTGAAGTCTTAGCATTCAACTTGCACTTGGATCTCTCAGACGAGAGAGTTTTTCAAAACAGGCGCATTTCCTTGGGTACATCATAACCATTTTTTGAAAAGTGAAATACATTCATATGAAATATTAGTATCGTAGAAAATGATAAGCTTTTCAAAATCTGAACGTCAGTATACCGAATCACAACATAAAATTCAATATAAAATTTCTTTGTGGCTAAACGCTGGTCCAAACCAACTTAGTTTCTTTGTTTTCTATTTATTTATTTTCTTCTTCTTTTTTCTTTTTTTATTATTTATTTATTTAGAAACGGAGTCTCACTCTGCCACCCAGGCTGGAGGGCACAATCGTAGCTCATTGCAGCCTTAACCTCCTACGCTAAACCAATCCTCCCACCTCAACTTCCTGAGTAGCTGGGACTACAGGCGTGCACCTTACAAAAACAACACAAAGGCCAGGCGCGGGGGCTCACGCCTGTAATCCAGCACTCTGGGAGGCCAAGGTGGGTGGATCACAAGGTCAGGGATTAGAGACCAGCCTGGCCAATAGGTGAAAACCCGGCTCTACTAAAAATACAAAAAATAGACGGCGCGATGGCAGGCGCCTGTAGTCCCAGCTACTCGGGAGGCTGAGGGAGAAGAATCACTTGAACCTGGGAGACGGAGGTTTCAGATGTGCCACTGCACTTCAGCCTGGGTGACAGAGCAAGACTGCGTCTCAAAAAACAAACAAAAATTTTTAATTTGGAAATAATTTTAAACTTATAGATAACCTGCACATATATAAACACTGTAGCACAAATACTCAGATTTATTTATTAACAGTTTGTGCCATTGCTTTGGCTTCATCATTCCATCTATTCATCCACCCACCCATCCTAGCCCAGTCATCAGGGACAAGCAAGACAAAGTCAGGTCTATTGACCCTTTGAAATGATGGCGATCACTCCCCAAAGGAGAAGCTGCAATCAAGTTATAGGATTTGGAGGAAGACAGAAATTTGGGTGAAATTTAAGTGAAGCAATGTTTAGATAGGTTTAGAACAAGGTAGGAATCTGTATAAGTGAGTCAGAATCAAGCCTGGGCCAAGTGCAGTAGCTCATGTCTGTAATCCCAACACTTTGGGAGGCCAAAACAAGAGGATCACGTGAGCCCAGGAGTGCAAGACCAACCTGGGTAACAGTGGAACACAGTCTCCATGGAAGGAAGGAAGGAAGGAAGAAAGGAAGGGAGGGAGGGAGGGAGGAAGGAAGGAAAAGGAGAAAGGGAGGGAGGGAGGGAGGAAGACAGGGAGGGAGAGAAGGAGGAGGGGAGGGGAGAGGAGGAGAGAAGAGGGGAGAATTATCTGGGTGTGGTGTTAGGGGATGACTTGAGCCCAGGAGTTTGAGGTTGCAGTGAACTATATGATTGTACCACTGTATTCCAATCTGCGTGACAGAATGACACTCTGTCTCAAAAAAATAAATAAATAAATCAGATTTGAACTGCAAAGTGGACCTAAGGTCTTGTTTCCCTGGAAACTACAGTGTTAATATAAATGTGGCATGCTGTGCCCAGAAACTCTTTATTTAAAGCTCTGCACCAGGGCTGGAAATTGAGGCTTCTTATCTTTGTCAAAGTGACGGAGATCTTCCAGGCAACAAAGATTAGGCTGTTTCATTCTTACAGATAGACTTTCAAACAGCCAAGTTTCCAATAGTCTGGGATTTCAGAGAACAAAGTTTCTCAAAGAGTAAGACAGCAGTAGTCATTCACAAAGGGGGCTGCTAGGACACTTTTTCACCACTGCAGCTCGCCCCTGGGTGAAATGTGTGCTGCTAATGTTGCAGTTGGTTTCATCTGGATCTATAGATGATGGGCAGGCCAGATTTTTACGGTATTAGCTAGTTTTAGCTCATATATATGTAATTTTTCTTTTCTTTTCCTACCTTTCTTTTTCTTTCTCTTTCTCTCTCTCCCCCAACCTTTCTTTTTTCTCTTTTTTAGACGGAGTTTTGCTCTGTCACTCAGGCTGGAGTACTGTGGCGCAACCTCTGTTTCCCAGGTTCAAACAATTCTGCCTC